TTTGGTTTTTTAGCAACGGCAGCATCTGTCAATTCCTCTAGCTTAGCTAGCGTCCTCTCCTGCAGTGTAAATATTTTCTTAAGTGTTTCTGCCACCAAATAGGTTTGCTGAGCTAAGAGTTCCATCTCCTTCCAGCTATTAGAGATCTGCTCAGTCACAGGTGGTGATTTACAAAGGGGCGTCTGTCCCTTTATTTCATCAGCTGGCTGTAATCCTCTCCTGCAGTGTAAATATTTTCTTAAGTGTTTCTGCCACCAAATAGGTTTGCTGAGCTAAGAGTTCCATCTCCTTCCAGCTATTAGAGATCTGCTCAGTCACAGGTGGTGATTTACAAAGGGGCGTCTGTCCCTTTATTTCATCAGCTGGCTGTATTGTAGCTGGCTTCTCGGCCTCTACTTCCAAGCATTCTAAGCACTCATATTTGTTTGGATGCGATGGTATAGAAAAAAAGTCTTCTAGCTTAGTTTGCTTAGGTTGAGGGGGAATGCTATCTTCCTCAAATGGGAATGCTCTTTTCTTCCCCATGTTTCCAATATCAGCCAAACAGTCTTTTATGATAGAACCTCCCTTACGTTCATTTGCAAATTGGAGTCCCTCTTAAGGTGTTGATCATCAAATTTTCTCTTTTCTGATGTTTTTCTCCAACAGCCAAAGCAATAGGCTATTAAACTGTATATTATGAGGTTTTCTCTGGGAAGTTCCCCAACTTTCATGTATTTCTCTCTCCTGCAATTGCCGAGGCAGTATCCTTATTGTCTCTTATTATCTCTTCAAACTGGGGTTTCTGCCAGCACTTCAACTTTACAGCTGTTAAATTGTTTAGAAAGTTGAAGGTTGTTGTTAGCAATTGCTAAGAAATCCTGATAGTAGCCAAAAAAATAAAAATCCACGGAGCCGTACCTTTAGCGTCTTTATCGGGCGTCGGCCAAACCGGAAGCCAAATGTGAAGTCAAATGGGCCTTACAAAATATTACTAACAACAAAGCTAGCGGAGGTGATGGTATCCCAGCTGAGCTATTCAAAGTCTTAAAAGATGATGCTGTTAAAGTGCTGCACTCAATATACCAGCAAATTTGAAAAACACAACAGTGGCTACAGGATTGGAAAAGGTCAGTTTACATTCCAGTCCCAAAGAAGGGCAATGCCAAGGAATGTTCAAACTATTGCACAATTGCACTCATTTTACACGCTAGCAAGGTCATGCTCAAGATCCTACAAGCTAGGCTTCAGCAGTACGTAGATAGAGAACCACCAGAAGTACAAGCTGGGTTTTGAAGAGGTAGAGGAACTAGAGATCAAATTACCAACATTCACTGGATTATGGAGAAAGCAAGGGAGTACAGAAAAACATCTACTTCTGCTTCATTGACTACACTAAAGCCTTTGATTGTGTGGATCACAACAAACTGTGGCAAGTCCTTAAGGAGATGGGAGTACCAGACCACCTCACACGTCTTTTGAGAAACCTGTATAAGGGTCAAGAAGTGACAGTTAGAGCTCGATATGGAACAACATTGGTTTAGAATAGGAAAAGGAGTACGACAAGGATATATATTGTCATCTTGCTTATTTAATTTATATGCAGAGTACATCATACGAAATGCCAGCCTGGAATTAAGATTGCTGTGGAAAACATCAACACCCTCAGATATGGCAGAAGGTGAAGAGGACCTAAAGAGCCTCTTGCTAAGTATGAAAGAGGATAGAACAAAAGTTGGCTTGAAACTCAGCATCAAAAAAACTAAGATCATGGCATCCGGCTCCATCACTCCTTGGTAAATAGTAGGGGAGCACTCACTGGAGAAAACCCTGATGCTGGGAAAGATTGAAAGTAAAAGAAGAAGGGGATGGCAAAGGATGAGATGGTTAGAAAGTGGCATTGATGCAATGAACATGAAATCAAGCAAACTCCGGAGCACGACGGAAGACGGGAGGGCCTGGTATGATGTGGTCCATGGGGTCACGAAGACTCGGACTCGACTGTGCGACTGAACAACAACAAGCTGCCAAGTCACAGCTGACTTATGGCAACCCCATAGGGTTTTCAAAGCAAGAGATGCTCAGAGGTGATTTCCCATCACCACCCTGGTATGCTTTGGAGGTATTCCACCCAAATACTAGCTACTGCTAACCCTGCTTGGCTCCTGAGAACTAACAAGATTGGGCATAGCCTAGGCTACCAGATCAGGGCTATGCCAAGTATGGCCTGTTTTTTAGGGTGGAGGGAATGGCAATACAAAGAATGCTACCATGCAGACAGAGCCCAAGTAATAGTATGTCCTGGATTCAAGGAAGCAAGAAGAAAATCAGGAATCCTCTTCATCCATTTTGTAGCTTGGGCCACAACACCTGGAAATATCCAACACCAAATTGATAATACCAAGCTGAAACCCAAGAAACCAGCAAGCCCTCCAAACTCACCTTTTCCTCTTCAGAAACATCAGCCATTTTGGGAGGGGCAGGAGGAGCTCTCTTCTTCATTAGCACCAAAACATCTAAAGAGAAAAAGGAATTGGGACACAAAAGCACAGGGTGGGATATTTTCTGCTTGAAGCCAATAAAAAGGGGGGGGGGGGCACCCATAAAATGATTTTGGTTAAGTTACCAGTGATGGGAGATAATGCTACAAATTGGAACTGCACTTCAGGAATCAAGACATACATTTTACTATTTATCACTTTTTAAAGGTTTCAGAAAGCAGTGGCTTCCCTTAACTAAGTAATAAATAGAACAAATTTAGAGTTCAGTTGCACCGTTAAGACCAACAAAGGTTTATTCAAAGTATGAGCTTTCGTGTGCATGCACACTTTTCAAATACATTGGAAGGAAGGTAAGGTTCAAACTTATAAACAGGGGCTGAGCAGCAAATTAACAGGTAGCATAATGAAGATGCTTTAAGATATGCAAGAGAAAACTAAACAACAAGCTAAGGTTATAAGATCAACAGTTGTAAAGCAATAAATATGTCAAAATAAGACTGAGACTTTCCATTCACTCCTCTCAGGAGTGGAGGTCACTTAATAGGATTTTTTTTTCTTTTTTGAGGTGGTTGCAGTGTATGTCAGCCAAACATTCCAATATTCCTTGTATTACATTCAGTATTCTAATATACTATTCTAAAAAATACTATTCTAAAATACAGAGGATGTACAGTCCCTCTGTATGAAAATATATATGTGAGGACTGAGTGAGTTAGCATATGTAATGAGATAAGAAATCAATATCCCTGCTGAGTTCTGGGGAGGTTTTTGTTCCAAATGTTGCAATAACTTGTAATTCAGCAAATTCCCTTTCCATTCTGTTCTTGAAGCTCCTTTGTAATAAAACATCTACCTTTTTTAAAAATAATTTTATTATTTTCAAACAAACAAACATGAGAATATTACATCATCATTATATCTAATTAATATACATCGTACATATATATCTAATTACCTATCAGTCTACCATATAGCCAACTATAATTCTTGCAACTCTAGATTTTAACAGTATATCTTTCCTCCTAATTAAGCATTGTTTAAACATTTCTCTCATTATTTTGCTATTATAAGCCTTCTACCTAACAATCAAGTTACTCTTCCCTAACAATCAAGTTACTCTTCCCTTAAATACATTCAGTATGAATTATGTTTTTTTCAATGAACTTCTCTTATCAATCTTTGTCAATTGCATTTATCCAAATGTCCACTGTACAAAATTTGATTTATACAATTTGCTCTAATACATTTTTAATGTCATTTATTCTAAAGATTACCTGGTCAGTTTAAATTGATCTTCTATTAGTATGCATTAAGATTTTATAGGTGTATTTGTTGTTGTTGTTCAGTCGCACAGTCGAGTCCGACTCTTCGCGACCCCATGGACCAGATCCCGCCAGGCCCTCCTGTCTTCCACTGTCCTCTGAAGTTGGCTCAATTTCATGTTCGTTGCATCGATGACACTGTCTAACCATCTCATCCTTTGCCGTCCCCGTCTTCTTTGACCTTCAATCTTTCCCAGCATCAGGGTCTTCTCCAGTGAGTGCTCCCTTCTCATTGGGTGGCCAAAGTATTTGAGCTTCAGTTTCATTATCTGGCCTTCCAGGGAACAGTCAGGGTTGATTTCTTTTAGGACTGACTGATTTGATCTTCTTGCAGTCCAAGGGACTCTCAAGAGTCTTCTCCAGCACCATAGTTCAAAAGAATCTATTCTTCGGCGCTCGGCCTTCCTTATAGTCCAACTCTCGCAGCCATACATGACTACTGGGAATACCATTGCTTTGACCATGCGGACATTTGTTGGCAGGGTGTTGTCTCTACTTTTTATCATGCTGTTTAGGTTCGCCATCGCTTTCCTCCCAAGGAGCAGTCGTCTTTTAATTTCATGGCTGCTGTCACAGTCTGCGGTGATCTGGGATCCCAGGAACATGAAGTCTGTAACTACTTCCACGACTTCCCCTTCTATTTGCCAAGGAGTGATGGGGCCGGATGCCATGATCTTAGTTTTTTTGATGTTGAGCTTCAAGCCCACTTTTGCGCTCAAATATTCAAATATAACTCCGTTGTTGGCTGTGGAACCTGACACCCATTACACATACAAAATATTTCCCTAAGATTTTACAAATCCACCAAAAATTTAAACTTGTGTGTTCCCTAACGACTTTTAAATTGTTACACATATGAAGTCATTCCCTGGCCCAATATTTATAAAGCTTTATTTTCTTCTTCTTCTTTTGATTCTTTTTTTCCAGTAAAGTCTTGATTTTATGTCTCATCCTTGTAGGTAGAGAGGTTTTCTTTTAAGGTTCGCCAGCTATAATTCATTCTTGAAGTAATTGTTGGTTCCATAATGCCTTTTTTATCTTCTCTTTGCAGCTTGGAAGGTTTCAGCATTTATCTGTCTTTTACTGAGTCTGTTATGTTCTTCTGTGTAGATCCTTCTGTATGATGCATCCAGTTGCTTGTAGTCTTGATCTGTATCTTGGCCAGTTTGGTATTGGGGTTTTTCCATCTTGATTACAATTTGCGTTGGTGTAGTTGTCTCTTTAAATTGGCTTAGATTAAAAGCCTCAAAAACCTCTTCAACTGCCAGATTAACTGTATCAACAATTATACACTTAAGCTCCTCCCAGGAAATCTGCTCTATATCACCATCAACAGAGCTAACAACACATGTCATCTGGCATTTTTCTATATGTGTGTTGCATATTCATTTTAAAACCACCTCAAAGACCCCAGTTCAGCCCAGCAAACCAATAAACTCTACTGTTATTTTCCACTCCATGCTGGGCTGACCTCCCTTACACAACCATGCCTACTGTAAATATATTAACCACCAAGAATCTTTAAGTACGAGTCATATATTTGTGTGTGAGGAAATTCTGTGAACTTAGGCAGATCATGAAAAGGGAGAATGAAAAGCATCAGTGCTCAGTTCTTCTGATCCTTCCTTACATGCCCAGGGAAATGCTGATTGCCACTTTGGGGTCAGGAAGCAATTGTTCTCCAGGCTGGTTTGGCCAGGGATCCTGGATGGGTTCCCCACCACCACCTTCTGGGCATAGAGCAGGGGTCTCTGGGGGTGGGGGGGAGGCATTTGTGAATTTTCTGAATTGTGCAGGGGGTTGAACTAGATGACCCTGGAGGTCCCTTCCAACTCTATAATTCTATGACAAAGAGGATCGTGGTTGGAATCTGCTACAGTCTGCTTCACCAGGGTGAGGAGGTGGATGTTGCCCTCCTTGAGCAGCTGGATAGTGTATCCAAGCAACATGACCTTGTAGTTTTGGGTGATTTCAACTTCCCTGATGTGTGCCAGGAGACAAAGTCTGCTAAGCATCCAGAGTCACACAGTGGCCTGCGGGACCAACACCTTCCTTTTTTAAATGGTAGACAAAGCTAAGAGGGGCTCAGACAAACTCAGCCGTATGTTAATCAACAGGCAAGAGTTGGCACATAGGAGGGTCAAGGGGGTAGGGACCTGAGGAGGAAGTGGCCCTGTCCTCCAAGAACTCCTTTAACTGTGGGGGGGCCAAGGAAGTTCATAGTCAAACGTGTATGTTAGATTTCAGGAGGGCAGACTTTAATGAACCCAGAGGCATGATGAGAGTCATTCCACGGGCAAGACTGCTGGGAGGGAAAGGAGCAAGTGAAGGGTGGGCTCTCCTAAAACAAGGTCTCCTGCGAGCTCAAGCCATCAGTGTTCCAGCAAGAGGTAACCATGGCAGGGGATCCAAGAAGCCAATGTGGATGAGCCGAGAAATCCACGAGCTACGACAGAAAAAGGAGATGTTCAAGAAATGGAACCTCTAAAGAAGAGTACCTGAGGGTTGCTAGGCTCTGTGGATCAGCCATCAGAGAGGCCAAAACTCAGCGTGAGCGGAGGCTGGTTAGAACAAGAAAAGCTTCTTCGGCTATGTGAGGAGCAAATGCAAAGTAGAAAAGGCAGTAGGCCCACACTTGGGTGAAAATGGAGAAACTCTGACAGAGAGAAAGAAGAAAGGCTCAGTGCCTATTTTGCCTCAAGATTTTTTCATCTGAAGAAGAAAACAGGCCCATCCAGAGATGGTAGTAGGCAAGGTACGGTGTCTGGGCTGCTAGTTGACAGGGACAGAAAGGTAGCTGAGAAGCATCTAGCTGTATTGAATTATTACAAATCCCCCCAGGCCAGATGGTATACACCCCAGAGTGCTCCAAGAACTTTCTAGAGAGCTTGCAGAGCCCTTGTCCATGCTTTTCAAGACCTCTTGGAGGATGAGAGATGTGCCACAAGACTGGAGGAGGGCAGATGTTATCCCAATCTTCAAAAGAGAGAGGAAGGATGATCCAGGTAACTACGGGCCAGTCAGTCTGACCTCTGTCCCAAGGAAGATATTGGAGAGGGTTTTTAAAGGTGATAATCTGTGAGCATTTAAAATACAATTTAGTGATCCGGAGAACTCAGCATGGATTTGTCCCCAACGGGTCCTCCCAGACCAGCCTTTTCTTCTTTGATCAAGTGACAGGTTATTGGCTCATGTGAATGCTGCTGACATTGTTTACCTGGATTTCAGTAGCTTTTGACAGTGTTCATGATGTTCTGATGGGTAAACTGGAGGACTCTGGACTGGATTCCAGGACAGTTAGGTGGACCGAGAGCTGGTTGGAGAAACTGCAACCAAAGAGTATATTCGGTAGCTTTTTATCTGATTGGAGGGAGGTGTCCAGTGGGGTGCCAAAGGGCTCAGTTCTGGGCCCGGTACTTTTCAATATTTTTATAAAAGATCTGGATGAAAGGGTGGAGAGAATACTCATTAAATTTGCAGATGACATCAAATTTGGAGGAATATGAACACTCTGGAAGACAGAGATAGAATTCAATCTGATTTGAACACGGTGGAAAAGTGAGCAGATGTGAACAAGATGCAATTCAGCAAGAATAAGTGCAGAGTTGTACATCTGGGTAATGAAAATGAGAAGCATGCATACGAGCTGGGTGCACACTTCTGGGTAGCAGTGTGTGTGAATAAGGTCTTGGGGAACAGGTGGACTGTGTCCGGTAGCTCCGACTGTACTCCTGGAACCGGAGTGATATTTGGGGTGTGGGCCGCTGGTGGAGGAGGATGCCCGCTATGAGTCGCCACCCGAAGCTGTCTCCTCCGTCCCTCCCTACGCGAACCCCTCTCCGGGGGGTTCGCTGGAGCATGCAAGGGGTCTCCCCCCTCTCAATAGCCCCTCCAAACACCCGCAAAATCCGTAGTTAGGCAGAGCACGTTCGCCGCCCAATCTCGTCCCGACGCGCCAAAACCGGAAATCCAAGGGAAATAGGAGCAGTCGATGTGATGCAGCAGCAAAAAGGCTAATTGCAGGATGTCATAGTCCCACTGTACACTGCATTGGTCAGGCCACAACTGTTTTACTGTGTGCAGTTCTGGAGGCCTCACTTCAAAAAGGATGTGAGACTTGGGAATGTTTAGTCTAGAGAACAGGATACTGAACGGGGACATGGTCACTCTCTTTAAGTATTTGAAAGGCTCAAGAGGTGGCGCAGGGAGCTGTTTCTGTTGGCAGCAGAGGATAGGACTCTCAATAATGGGTTTAAATTACAGGTGAAAAGGTACCGGCTGGATATTAGGAAAGCGTTTTTTACAGTAAGAGTAGTTCAGCAGTGGAATCAGCTGCCTAGGAAAGTAGTGAGCTCCCTCTCACTGGAGACTTCAAGCACTGGCTGGACAAACACTCGTCAGAGATGCTTTAGGCTGATCCTGCATTGAGCAGGGGGTTAGACTAGATGGCCTGTATGCCCCAATTCTATGATTCTATCACCTTTGCTGCCCCTTTCCCACTTTGGTCTGATGACACCCTGTCACACACTGTCTTAGATT